AGTCTCTTCTTAAAAACCTCCAGTGATGGAACACCCACAACTTGGTGGCAAGCAGTTTCACTGGTTAATTGTCCTCGCTCTTGGGAAGTTTCTCCTTCATTCCAGGTTGCTTCTCTCCTTGATTAGTTTCCATCCCTCGCTTCTTGTCCTGCTTCCTGGTGCTTTGGAAAATAAATGGACCCCCTCCTCCTTGTGGCAGCTCCTCAGATATTGGAATGCTGCCAACATGCCCCCCCCCCGACTTTCTTTTCTCTAGACTGGCCATTCCCAAATCCTGCAACTGTTTTTCATATGTTTTAGTCTCCAAGTCCTTAATCGTCTCAGTTACGCTTCTTTGCACTTTTCCCAAAGTCTCAACATTTTTTTTGTAATGTGACCAAAACTGGATGCAGTGTTCCAGATGTGTCCAGTATTCCAGAGTGGAAGGGCTGCATGAAGAGGGGGGGAAGTGGGGGGGGAAAGAATCAAGATGGGTCAGGGGGTGGCCCTCTTTTAGGGCCCCTCCAATTTGTGCCGGTGTCTTCTGGGGTACGAGAGTTCCTGGCAACCACTGAGCAAGGCAGCCTCTCCGTTGACTGATTCTGTTTTGCTTTCCATCCAGAAATCCCGAGTTTTGTGCTGTGCAATGTGTCTGGAAATGGCTGGAGGCATCCGAGGTAAAGTCTTTGGCCCTGGGGGGGGGGGGGATGGCAGGGTGGGATGGGAGCTACTGTCCTGAGTGGAGGGACAGGCTATGATGGCCGTACGCTGCTGACTGGGTCCCCTTCTTGTCTCCTCTCGCCTTTCGGTTGCAGGGCCTGAACGGAGGATCATCCTTATTGGCACACCCGGAAATGGGAAAAGTGCGACGGGAAACACAATTCTGGGAAGGCCCGTCTTTGAAAGCAGCTCAGTCACCCAAGGTTGCCAAAAGGGGGAGACGTGGCTGAAGGGCAGGAAGATTGTGGTCGTGGATATCCCCAGCTTCATTGATACGATAGGGTATTGGAATCCACTGCTTTTCACTAGTTACGTTTTAACCGAAATTACGAAGTCTGTCCAGTTGTGCTCCCCAGGTCCCCACGTAATTCTGTGGGTCATTCGTCCTTTGCGTTTCCCCCAGGAGTACCGGGACACTGCTCAGCTGATCAAAAATATATTCAGCGGTCAAGGCAAGAATTACATGATCATCTTGTTCACTCACACAGAAGACCTGGAAGGGAAGACTCTCGAGAGATTCATATCCGAGAGAGACCCCTTTCTTAGGGATCTAGTGTCCCAGTGTGGGAACCAGGTTCTGGCTTTCGACAACAAGGCCGAAGGAGAAGAGCGGGAGGCTCAGGTGGCCCAACTGATGACCATGATTGATGACCTGGTGAAGAAGAACAGAGATGCTCCTTGTTACACGGAAGACATAATCAAAGCAGATGCAGAGAACTGGCGAAAGTGAAATGTCTCCTCTTTGTTGTTTTTCTTTTTCAAATAGAGACCGGAAA